TGCTTCTTCATTTCATTTTCTTCTGTTTGTTTTTTATATTTCATATTTTACATCAATCTCTTATTTCATATTTCATATTTCATATCTCCTATTTCATATTTTATATTTTATATATATTTTATTTTAATATAATTTATATATAAATATATCTATATACCTCCTCATTTAAATGTTTTCTAATTTTCATAGAGTATTCCCTCTTCTGCTTATATTTGTATTCTCATTTTCGCACCATTATTTGTCGCTGTGGCTGCTTTAGTTTTATTTCTTTCGTTTTTTCTATTTGCCTGCGCTTTGCTGATTTCATTTTGATTACGGCAAATTGTTTTTAGTTGCTGTCGTTTTCCGTTTTCCATTTTCCTACTCTCAATATATATGTATGTATATGTTTATGTATGTGTATATTTATTTCCATTTTAGCTCTTGGTGCGCTTTTGCCATTTTTTGTGCCCATTTATTTGCATTTCTTGCATAATCATGGTCTATTTATATTGCTCTCTATCAACGATCAGCACCATAATTACTTTTGCTGCTTATATAGCCATGGGCATTGCCCAATACAATAATATCGCCGATAACTCCAATACAAATAAATATGGCGTGTGACCTTAGTGTGCGCCAGTTCATCAAATGTGAATAAACATTTCGTTGTTTGCAGTGTAATTTGGACGCAAAATAAATGAATACCGTTAACGGTAAACGACTTATACAATGGATTATGTGAATATTGGATAATGATAATAGCACCAACTGCTCGACTACAAGCTACCGCGTAATTACTTTTGCCATAAGCTTGGCTAGTTGGCTTACTGTATAACACCTCATATATGGGCCACTTATTTTTTTGGCTAACATTTTCTAAAGCGTTTTGTTCGCCGCAAAATGCGCAAATTGCAGCAACCATTTTTTTTATTTTTAGTTTTATCCAAACTCTCGCATAACAAAAGAATTGGTCGGGGTCACTGGGTACGTGCGAGGGTTTTCAAAATGGCGCCCGGCAGAATAACAACGAAAACAAAAACAACAGCGAAAACTTCTACCAAATTAGTCGCTCTGCATGCAGTTTTTTGTTCTATTCCGAACATTTTTTGTTCGTTTTGGTTTTATCCCGAATTGGAAGCTTCGTTTTTAGTGCCATTTATTGAAGGCCTCTTGATGCAGCCGCAAGTTTTTAATGAAATCAACTTTAAAAAAAAAACGAAACAGTTGGAGAGCCCCAGAAACCCTTTCGAGTGCGGCAAGGGTTACTGTGGCAACGCTGCCGCAGCCCCATTGGATGCCTAATGAGCAGCCGACTTCACTTTAGTTTTTCACTTCACCTTAATTTGCGTCTGGGTTTTTGCCGTCTACTCTTTGGCCTGAGTGCAGGCAGTTTGCAAATTTGTGCACTCCTCTGTCTGCCAGTGTCGTGATCCGGCTGCTGCTCCATCACTTCATTCGCTAACGTTGCAGCGTTGTAATGCAAATTGGTTTCTGCGGCGCCTCCTCGCATCTCTCATCTCGTATCTCGCATGTTGCCCCAGCTGTCACGTTGACATTTGACATTTCTCTATGCATTGCTGCTGGTTCAGATATCAATTTTAAAAGCTGACAAATTGCAATGAAATGCGTCGCAAATTGAAGTGAAATATGATAGAGCGGGAGAAAAAGAGAGAGAGCGAAAGAGGGAGAGATAGGAAGAGACATAGGATTGAGTTGGATGACGTTTCTATCAGGGAACAACTAAACAAATTATTGCGTGGCCCATTGCCAATGGGCATGGCACATGTGTCTGTGTGTGTGTGTGCGGGAACATTAATGCGAGCTGACTTATGTCATATTCATGGCAGGCAGGCACACAGGCCACACCCACACACTCACACACACACACATGCACACGTGTGCAGTGGGCGCGCTTCGATTAAACAAACCTACTCAAATATGCAGTGACATTGAGGCAAAGACAAAAGCCAAGCGTCAAGGCAGCTCAACGTTTCCCCATATATGCGAGACAATGGCACGCACACATACAGATATCCATACACATATACATATACACACAAGCCCCCTACTCATTGCACATATACACAAGTGCAAGTGCCGTAGCAAAGGTCAGAGACAGTTGCATAACATTAAAATAGGATACGGATGCGACTGCGGCTGCTTTGTGTGTTGGCTAATTAAAAAAAAAAAAAAAAAGAGAACAAAAAATACATCTAAAGCCTGGCTATTGCATAAGCCAAGAACAAGAGACGCAAAGCGAGCAGCAGCTGTCTGTGACAGCTGTCCATGTATGTACATGTGTGCCTGTGTCTGTATGTGCGTGTTTATACTGAAAATTGTCAACGCAACACATGCAACATGAACGACGCTCAAGGATATGCATACAAACAAACAAAAAATCAAGCCTCTCTGTGTGTGTGTATGTGTGTGTGTTTGTGTGCGAGTAACGCTTGCGTAACGTAAAAGTAGCCTTGAACTGCAGCCTGTCGCTTTCAATGGATTTGCATTCCATGCGCTGCACACACACACACACACACACACGTACAGGCACACACATACACACGCACAGACATTACCAAGGTCACGCCAACGCCAGCCGCAAATGATAGTTGGAGTGAGCGGGAGCAAGATAGGGTTATGCTTTCAAACGGCATTAAACGCACACACAAGCAAGCGCGAGAGCTGAGGCCAGTGTATGTGTATTTGTGTGGCTGTCAAGCCACAACCGAAATGTCAGAAAACTGTCGTAAACTTTTGCCTAATTGGCGCTCAAACAAATACAGCGCAAGCGACAGAAAGAGAGAGAGAGAAAGAGAGGGCGGGAGAACGAAAGGAAGAGCATAGTAAAATGTAACAGCAATGTTAAATGCAACTGTGTTAGCTAAAAGGAGCGCGCACAAATCTCGCGTTCGTTCTCTGCAATATAATAACGGTTAAGCACGCAGAGTCAAACGGCAGCAGCGACAGCGCAAAAACAAAAATCGTGCAGAAAAGCAAATGTGCAAGCAGCAGGGCAGGCAAACGAGCAAAGCGAAACAACAGTTGGATAATGACGTCAAATGAAACGCAGAGAGTTTCGGCGAGCAACTGAGCTTGTAAAAGAGAGAGCGAACGAGATAGACTTAGCGCAAGCTGCTTAAGAGGGTTGCCAGATCAACAGCAGCAGCAATAATAAGAGTTAAAATAAAAAAATGCCCCTCCACTACACCCCAAACTTCAATTCCAAAGATATACACAAATTCCTTGCCAACGAATCATCCAAAAAACTCCATCAAAATATAGAAGTCTGCAACAGTTGGTATCAGCAACTCAACAACCTGACACACACAACCTATTACTTAAAAAACATAAAACAAGAAATTATTACACGCAGCGACCAAGTAAAAATACTAAGACTCCGACTAGGACACACAAGATTTACAAAACAACAATACATCAACCCTGACAACATAATCCCATGCCCCAACTGCAACACCACAACAGACCTCACCATCCAACATATTTTCTTTAACTGTCCTGCAACTTCCCACCTGAAAACCCAAATCTTCCACAACAGCTGCCCCATATCCTTACTCTCAAACCCAACCCCTGAAAACATATGCTCAATAATCAAGTTTCTAAAAATAACAGATTTATACCACCTCATTTAGTTCCCAACCAACAAAACAATGTAAATATGTATATAAATGTAAATGCATAGGATAAGTTAGAGCCGAAGGCCATAGTAGCCAGTGCTGTTAAAATTAAGTTAGATCTTAATTTTTAATTATATCTAACTTTATAAAATAAAAATAAAATAAAAAGGGTTTCCTCTGCTTGCCCGCTGTATAAATAGAATAAATGCTTAACTATTTATTATACAAATACGCATTAGCTTTAATGTTTTTTTTTTTTTTTTTGCTTCGTGTATATTATGCATATTATATTGTCTACCATCGCCCCAAAAGTCAGACGCATGCCAATCAGTCAATTAGAGGAAATATACGCATACATGTATGCATACACACATATGTATATGCTAATGGCTTAAGCTGCCTTGTTATTTGAGTCACCCTCGCTCACACACACACACGCACACATCTATACATACATATACGCAGCTCTGGCATCTAAGCGTATAGCTGGCGCTGCCTCCGTCGCTGTCGCTGCCCGGCGAGCCATTTAATGGCCTTTTCACTCACACACACATTCAAACGGCATAGCCCCTCTCCCGCTCCCACTCTGACGGCTGGCCCTTTGAAATCGCTATTTGGTTATGCTGGCAGCTCTTTCACTTATTTTATTTTTTTCTTGCTGCTGCTGCTGCTTCTCTTTCACTCTTCTGACTGCGCGCGTTGTGTGCAAGTTGGTCATAAAAATGGAGTTACATTTATGACCCACATCAGGAATACACAGATAGAAACGGAACGCCAAATGAGTTGGACCGAAGAGTAGGCGACGGCGGGGGCGTTGGGCAAGGACAGTGGGGCGAAACACTGCGTGTTGGTGGCGGTGGGCGTGTTTGCGGCGCCCGCCTCGCCTGCAAACAAGCTAGCTACATTCATGAGAATATTTTATTTTACTGTTATTTGTGTTTGCCATTTTCTCTGTGTACGCTTTGTTATTTTGTTTTCCCTCTTTCATTCGGCATTTCGATGGCCATTTACTTTTGACTCCAGTTACACCCTTTGCTCTTTTAACAGTTGTTGTTATACTTATACTTTCTACTTTCTTCTCTTTCGTCAAATTGCCGCCGATTCCTTTTCTTTTTTTATCAACTCTTGTGTCTAGCGTTTGCTTCTGGCGCTCACACGCCGCACAGTTTTCGCCGTCAAATCGCCAATAAGTCGCCGTCGCTGTTTATTTTACCGTACACATTTTTCAAGGCTAAAAATGCGTATCGGATTTTGTTGAGGTGTGCAATGATTTGCGTGCCAGACACATACACACGTATGTGTGAGTGTGTGTGTGTGCATATGTATGTATGCTTATGCAGCTTAATGGCTGCCCACTTAAAATTGAGCTTGCAGTTAACTTACCCCCTCAGTCCAGTGCTGCTGCTGCCGCTAGTGCTGCTGCGTCTTTGCACATTAAGTATTCAGCACATTTTTGCATGCACGTGCATTTGCCGCCATTTAATCTTGCGCCATTCACTAGATCCCCGCGCGTCTTTCGCACACTGACCCAGTTCGCTTTGTTTTGCGTGTTTATCTTGCACACGTTTCTACACTATGCGGCTGCTGTTTGCCGCCTGTTGTTGTTGCTGTTGCTGTTATTTTTTGTTTTTTCACTGCATGCAATGAGTAACGCTCTCAGTAACGGGATCGTTATTATTGCACTAGTTTTTCTGCATGTGTTGTTGTTCTTTATGCATGCCTTTGCCTCTTAAATGGCAGCATTTTTTTCGCTCAGTAACGGAAACTGCTGCTATTGCGTGCATGTTACAATTGTTGTTGTTGGTGTTGTTATTGTTCTATCGGTAGCTGTAAAAATTACAGTGGGCGCACTTTGTTAGCGGCTGGCCATAAAGCTGTCGGCTTCTAGTGTACGGTTGAGCCCAAAAGTATGCGACATTAAATTGATTACACTTTCACCGTTACTACGAGCGTCCTTACGCTTGCTCGTCGTTTGCTTTCAACACAGTTCTTCTTAGCCCGCTCGTGTGCATTTTTTATGCGCTTGTTTTCACTGTTTGTTTTTCTATTGTGTTGCTAATTTCGTTACTTTCACTTTGTTAGGCTTTCGCCTCGTCTGCCTGTGCGTGTGTATGTGTGCAGTAGTGTGTCGATGTTAGTGTATGTGTGTATTTGTGTGTGGGTGTTTGTAAGCGCACGTGTGCGTGGCTGCAGCCAGTTTCTGTTACTGTTTGTATGTGTTCGTGTGTATCTGTGCGTCAGTTTTCGTTATTCAACTTTTGGTCGAGCATTGATTTTTCACTTAACTTTAATTTGTTATTGCTTAAATTAATTTCCTTTTATTTTATTTTTGTTGGTTACAATTTCTTTGCACAATCTCGCATGGAACTTTTGTTGCGCGTTTTTCACTTCGTTTTGATTACATTTATTTTCAGTTTTGCGCGCGCTTGCCTAACGTTTAACGTGTGCGTCTATTTGTGTGCGAGTGTATGAGTCTGTATGTGTGTGTTTGTGTAGCAGGTGGAAAATAAAATAGTTGCTCGATGCGTTCCACGGGCGCAGCGCACGTCCGTTCGCCACGACTCTTCACACATTTCTGAGAGAACGCGCGCTTCATAAAATGTTTACGTTTGGCTTCCTTTCCAATCTCACCATCTCGCTCGCTCACTCTCCGAGCCTGTGTCTTTGCAGTTGGTTTTGCGATTGGCTTTACAGTTGGCTTTGCATTGCCATTGCTCGCTCTCTTTGTGTTTGCGTTGCATTGGAGCTGAGCTAGCGGCGCCAGAATGTCTACGCATAAATAATACGCACGTGGCTCCTAAAGCAGAAGCAGAGCGGCGAAACCTGAGAGTTGCTCTCAATGCAAAGTAAATCCTTACTGATTGGTGCGTGAATGAGTGAAACGATAGACCAAGACGACTTGGCGCGCACCTATACATGTTTGCAAGTTGAAGCGCATGTAAATGATTTATAAATAATTGTAATCTCTTTTTCAATATGTTTTTATAATACATATTTGGAGAATAAATATTTATATAAAATGATTAATTAATTGAGTCATTATAGGTAACTTTTACATTTAGCATTATCTATATTTGGTAATATAATATATTTGATTAATTTTATCACATTTTTTACTTCATCTTAACTTAATTATAATTATTCTTTAATTGTTTGTCATATTTTATTTTTCATTTGCATTTTTTACATTACTTAACTTTATCTAAGCTGAATTATATTGTATTTATGAGCAATCTGAAATGCCTCATACTATACCAGCTCCACTTCTAACTGTAAACAAATCGCAGGAGAGAAATTCCATTGCAAACACACATCAATGGCCACGCTCACTGCCTCGCTCTCTCTCTTTCTTTCTATCCCTCTTTTTCTCTCATGCTCTAGCCACTCTCTTTTGCTTTTATTCTGACTCATGCGCTCTCTGACATGCGCTCAATGCGCAGCTTCTTAATGTCTTTCTTTAGCTATCGCCTGCTGGCGCTGCGAACAAACTTATGCTGCTCTGCCGCTGCCAATGCCTCTGCTGCTGCTTCTGCCTCTGCCTCTGTCTTTACTTCTGCTACTGCTGTTGCTGTCGCATGCGGAGCACGTGAACTTTTGTGTTTACTTTTTAATTTTCTTTCAGTTCGCAGGCTTTGGCGCTGTTGTTGTTGTTGTTGTTGTTGTTGATATTGTTCTGCCACTGCCAGCGTCTGTTGCTCGCTGCCTTTGTTTAGCTTTCTTTCGGTTTGCTTGCTTGTGTTTTGCATTTCCATTCATGATGGGCATCAAAGACGTATTGCTATGAGGTTAGGTTGAGGCTTGGCATTTGCTTAGCCAACGATCGGCATGGAAATTGGCGCAAAATATGCCCCAGTTGGCTCCCAGCGGCTGCCTGCTTATGCATCGTCTGCTGCTGCTTCAGCTCCATCTTTTGCTTATGCACATTTTGGGAGCCCCAATGCAGTTTGCATATGCTAAAAACCTGTTTTCACAGGTGTGTCTTTGCATCTGTGTGTGTGTGCGTGTATGTGTGTCTTGTTAAATCATGCATGCTGATTGTGCTGCGGTTGTGGTCTCTAGGATGCCGCAACACTGCAGCCAGCTGTGTTTTGTCTGCATGCTGATTTGCATTTATTTTTGCTTTTTCCTTTCCAGCTCTGTTTCTATTCTACTCTCTCTCCTCTTTTCAATTTGTATTAAACAGTTAACAAAAATTCTGTTTTGAGGCACAGTGCTGCCAATTAGTAAATGTACAGGCCGCAGCAAAGCAGATGCAAATCGTGCGGCGTTGCCAGAGTTTTTGCCCTTCCCCCAAAATATACACGTGTAAACAAAGGCTTTGATTTTTGGCCAAACCAAGTGCATGATAAGCAAATAAACAACAAGCAGGGCAGATGCAGAAAGAGAGAAAAACACCATAGGGCAACCTGTACAGCTGTCTCCCTCTGCGCCCCTCTATGCCATTCCGCTTTAGCTATGAGTAATTGCACTTGTGCATGCGCCAATGTCTATCTGTCTGGCAATACCCAAAAGACTCACACTGTACATATGTGCATATGTGTACGTGTGTGTGTTTGCTTGGTTTGCTGGCCATTTAAGCCCGGCCCACGTAGCGTCCACCACATTAAGGTAAACTGTTGATTTCCAGCAACGCTTTTGCGGTCGAGCCGAAGCAGCCAGCCAAAATTCCAGCTGTGGACAATGCACAGCTATATATGAGTGTGTGTGTGTGTGTGTGTGTGTGTATGCTGCGGCTCATAATGGCATTAGCAGCAGCTAAAAGCTAAACGCCCAAATAGAAGAAAACAAAAAAACAAAAAAAGGTCAACACTCGTGCAACAAATGCAATTGTAAAAGAGAGAGAGAGAGAGAGAGGTAGACAGAGAGGGCAAACATCAAGCCCCCTTTGGCACATGCCCCTACCCCCGTCACCTTTTCACGCTTTCCACTTAGCTCTGGTATGCAAATTTCGTAGCAAAGCTTTGAGTGCTGCCATAAAATGTGACAAAATGGAGTCGTGTCTTTTGGGCGCAGCAAAGTATGCTATGAAAAATGTAAAACACAAAACGAAGCCAAATACAGACACAGACAGACACTCGCGCACACACACACACACACACACACACACGTACAGCTGGTGTGAGTTGGAATGGTTTATTTTCGTTGAGAGTCGATAATTTAATGTATGCTCAGACACTGGGGAATAGGGAAGCCCCAAAATACAAAAGCCCCAGAGACGAACCCTTTATGTGTTATATGTTGTGTGTGTTTTTTTGTTATTTTATCTTCTGTTTTGGCTGTGTGCGTGGCTCCAACTGGTTTGGTGGACTTGGCCTAAATATAGAATGCTAACAGCCTACAATTCATTGACCAATTCAACACACTAAATAGTGGTTAACAGTTGTTCTTATTGTTATTGTTGTTGCTGCTGTCGGTGTTGTTGTTGCTGCTGTCAGTTGTTGTTTCGGGCTGCGGTTTCGAGACTCTATCTCTGCCAGTAAGCCGTGCTAAGCTGTTTTTGAGCCTCGCAAGCTGGCATACACATATTTAAATGGATTTTGAAGATATCAAATATGCACAGATTTGGCAAGAGATATGGCTTGTTTTGTGATGAGGATGAATTGAAGTTAAATGTTGTAATAAAATGTACACAAGATTCTAATTGAGTTGCTCATTTAAAGTAAAAAAAAAAATTAAAATAAAAAAAAATTAAATAAAAAAAGCGTGCGCTGAAAAGTATGGTATGAAAACGCGTGGCTGCTGTAGAGGATTGGGCGAAATGAAGTAAGATATCTCTATATATAATCAAATACAATAATAGATTTTTAAATGCAATTAGTAGCTGTACAAAATTTGAATATAATGGAGTAAAATCTAAACATTTCAAAATTTCATATATGCAGACTATCATATACATAAATAGATAATATTTTATTTTAGATAGATAACCTTTTCTTTTCATTTTTTTATTTCTTTTTTTATAAATATTCGTTTCACCTTTTTTCAACTTTTTATTATTTCTTATTAAGGTTTAAAAACAATTCCTATTATTGTAATACTTTTTTATTCATTTATTATTTCATTTAAAATGTCTGTTTGCTTTTTGCAAATATTTAATATGAAACTAGTTTTTGTAGATAAATTTGCCAAAGGCAACTTGTAAAAGTAAACATTAAATACGGCTGCAGCTTAAATAGCAACAAAAACGTTTTAAACATGAGCATATTTGAATGCCTAATCTATAGCGCAAATACCGCAATGGTATAGGGAGTACTTATACATTCCCTTCATCAAAGATTATGTATGAGCTAAGAAATGAATCAGATGACAGAATTATTTAATTATACTTGATTTTTATAATTTTCTAAATTTTCTTGGATTTCTCTAATATCAAAATCTTAAATTGCTTAACTTAAACTATTGATTCCCTATCTGAAATCCTTTTATGAAAAGTCTAACAATTTAAACCGTATACCTATTTTAATTTTGACCTAATCTTTCCATAGAAAATTCTATTAAACTATTAAATTTACTAAATGAAATACTTTGCAACTTTAATAAAATTATCGAAAATAATTTAAATTAAAAAAGTACTTGATGAAAATATTCAACTTAAATTGTAATATGATATTCATTTAAATATTGAAAGTGCATTGAATATTCGACTGCAATTTTAATTGATAGTTTTTGTGGTTTTTGTGCCTGTGTGCGAAAGCCACAGATTGTAATTAATTGAATTTATGTGATGCACGCTTCATATATCATGTATGCATGCACGTGTATCTCTATCTATATCTACCCCACTCTTTGTCTCTGCCCTCTCTACTGTTCCTGCTCCTGCTCCTGCTCCTGTCTCTCCTGTCTCTCCTGTGTGTGTTTGCCCATTTAGGCGAACAAACATTAATCCCATATGCAAATTGGAATCAAATGCAGATACAGTTGAAATTAGCGGGACTAATACACAGCTAACCGCAGACTAAATGAGGCACCAGCGCCAGGTGCCAGATAGTTATATATAGCTAGCTATATCAGACCGAACATATATATATTCAGCAATACACTGTGAGAAAACGATTGATCTGTAATCTGTCATGGTTCGCTTGAGTAATTCATTTCGTTATAAATTAGTTAGGCAATCAATCAAATTCGTTATTTTTGCACAGCTGCTGCCTAATTACTCGGGCAACTTACCTGAGCTCAGGTAAGGCGAACGTTTAATATCTTAAGTTGCTTGGCTTCAAATTATGCTGCGCATTAAATTTTAAGGCAATTTACAATTTTAATGCTCATCCGCTTCTCATTTCAGACATTTTTATAGCTCTATCCCTATCTTTGTCTCTATTCATATCTCTTACTCTTCCTACTCCGTCTCTCTCTCTCTCCCTCTATCTCTTTCTGTTGCTTGTACTCCTGCTTGGCGTCGGACATTGCTTGGGGGCTAAGCAAATTCTGTTTTGCATACCAAGAGTTATATATTACAATAAAGTTTATCTTGTTTTTTCGACAGTGCAGCGTATGCTGAAAGGGAGTCATAGACTAGTAGATACTCTGTAGCTGTCTTGATATAATATATAGTATAAAATAAAAAATAA